ACCCACTCTCATGGCCTTCAGGAAAGCTGTAAAAATGTGGCTGTTCCGGCAGGCCTGGGGCTGTTGACCCCACCGTTTAGGGCCCGCCCCCGTTTGAATGAATATATGAGGTGTTGCTGTTTTTAAACTGTTTCTTTTTTCGTTATGTGTTTTTTCTCTTTATTTTTGTAAGCCGCCCGGAGTCCTTCTGGATTGGGCGGCATATAAATGTGTTTAATAAATAAATAAATAATTTTTCATATTTACGGCTTTTGTAGTATCCCCATGATCATGTGATCAAAATTCAGATGCTTGGCAACTGGTTCATATTTATGATGGTTGCAGGGTCCCGAGGTCATGTGATCACCTTTTGCGACCTTCTGACAAGCAATGGGGAAGCCAGATTCACTTAATAACTGTTACTAAGTTATCAACTGCAGTTATTCACTTAACAGCTGTGGCAAGAAAAGCCGTAAAATGAGGCAAAACTCACTGCACAAATATCACTTAACAACAGAAATTTTGGGCTCAAGTGTGGTCATAAGTCAAGGACTACCTATATTATCGAAGGAGTGTTTGGGCGCGTGTACTTTCAATGCCGTTTTTTTACTCACAAAAAACCTGCAGAGCTGTGTATATGGGAGGATACTCCACTGCAAAAGGCTAAGAGAGAATAAAACTCAGATAATACCTTCAAAAAGTTGACCACTGAACTGACGTGGTTGGCGCAGGCTCCTTTTCTTACGTCATTCACGCCTTCACCAAACTGCCAAAAGAAAACAGGGACAGAATTTAAACCAGGAGACTCATATCATCCTTCATACAAGTGGTGACAGAGAAGGAAAGGCCATTCCTGAAGGATTACCATTCCACAACTCTCGTAGTAAGAGTTTATTCAGCTAAGCACTTGTAAGACACAGCCAAGTTTTGCTTTCTAAATTTAGGTTAGGGAAAAATGGGAGGAAAACAGTATTCCAGATTCTATAAAAAGATTGCTGCTTTTAAAAACAGAACATGAAAGATCATGAAAACGACACTCCCATGAACAAAACACTCCTTTTCCCTCTCCAGAACACACAATTTTTGCTGCGCACTTTGTACATTTTCAAAATCTACTGTTTGAATCAGAAGATGGTGTGTAATATTACAAATATAGCAATAGCAATAGCAGTTAGACTTATATACCGCTTCATAGGGCTTTCAGCCCTCTCTAAGCGGTTTACAGAGTCAGCATATTGCCCNAAAGGAGGCCACACCCACAGAGTAGGTTCGAACAATTTTTGAAGCCCACCACTGCCCTGAGGTGCTATTCTATCATACAAAAGCTTTTGATGACCTATCAAGACAGGGCTATACACGGCTGGTCTACAGAAACGGAAGCTGGATGGGGAAAAAGTCTAATTAATTCCAAAGAAGGTCAAAATAGGGATCATTGGGCCATAGAAGTTCTTACCACAGGAGCTTGTGGTCCGGCATCCTGGAACTTGCTTCCTTCTTTATGGAAGTTATAGTTTGCCCCCGAAGCTTTGGCCACCTTCTCTATAATGGTCTCTGGCTCCACATCTTCATCAGCCCGAGCATTTATTGTCACATGAGCACCCTGTAAGAAAGGAAGTGCATGATTTCTGCTTCTGATTGCCTGATATAATCATGGGGCACACTAGGCCCAAGCCAGACCCTTTTGTTTCTTCGTTAAGCAATAGGCAAACAAACTAGGTCTTGATATGATGTGCAAGTATAACTATTCCTGGCTTATGACCACAACGGGGCCCCAAAAATTGATCACTAAGTAGTGTGGTCATTAAGTGAGGCATCATAGGACCGTATCTATATTTTACGACCCCATTGCAATTGTGATAAATAATTGAGAATTCCCAAGCACCTGAATCATAACCACCTGACCTCGGGGACATTGAGACAGTCGTAAATGCAGGAACCAGTTTTAAGTCCCTTTTTCCAGCATCATTGCAACTTCAAGCAGACGCTAAACGAATGGAAGTTAAGTTGAGGACTATCTATATAGTTTCATGGGTAGCTAGTCAACATCCGTCTATCTATCTATGTGATGGAAACAGATCTGTCACCTGGAATCTGTCCTGAGGCAGAAATCTTATTTTGCAGAAATATTGGGGAATATTGGCTGAGAAATGCAGGGGAGACATGATGCGCAGGTATAGTTTCAAGGGTAGTAATGTTTGGTGGACGAAACTTTTCTTCCAAGGATCTTATTTTAAATAAAAGGATAGCATAGAACTAGGAGTCTACAATTACACAACTTTTTGCCCTCCATCCCAGGGTATCAAAAAAACCCCAAACTTTTAACTAGTTGTCTTAAAACTTTCTGTCTGTCAGGGTACTACAGATCGTCCTTGACTTAGAACAATTCATTTAGTGACTGTTCAAAGTTACAACGGCATTGAACAAAGCAACATGACTATTTTTCAGTTTTTTTATTTTTTAGTTCAGAATGCAGCCGCGCGAGCGATATTGGGTGTACCAAGGTACACCCATGTTACACCTGTCCTCCGTGAGCTACACTGGCTACCAATTGGTCTCCGGAC